CAGCCCTTTATGCTAAAAACCCTCAATAAACTCGGTATTGACAAAACATATCTCAAAGTAATAAAAGCTATTTATGACAAACCAACAGCCAATATCATACTGAATGGGCAAAAACTGGAAGCATTCCCTTTGAAATCCGGCACTAGACAAGGATGCCCTCTTTCACCACTCCTATTCAATATAGTACTGGAAGTTCTAGCCAGAGCAATCAGGCAAGAAAAAGAAATAAAGGGTATTCAAATAGGAAAGGTGGAAGCCAAATTTTCTCTATTTGCAGATGACATGATAGTATACCTAGAAGACCCCACCACCTCAGCCCAAAAACTCCTGAAACTGATAAGCAACTTCAGCAGTCTCAGGATATAAAATCAATGTGCAAAAATCACAAGCATTCCTATACACCAATAACAGATTTAAAGAGAGCCAAATCAAGAACAAACTGGCATTCACAATTGCTACAAAGAGAATAAAATACCTAGGAATACAACTTACAAGGAACGTAAGGGACCTCTTCAAGGAAAACTACAAACCACTGCTCAACGAAATAAGAGAGGAGACAAACAGATGGAGAAACATTCCATGTTCATGGTTAGGAAGAATCAATATCGTGAAAATGGCTAAACTGCCCAAAGTAATTTACAGAATCAACGCTATCCCCATCAAGCTACCATTGATTTTCTTCACAGAACTGGACAAAACCACCATGAACTTCATATGGAACCAAAAGAGAGCCCGCATAGCCAAGTCAATTCTAAGCAAAAGAATACAGCAGGAGGCATCACACTTCTGGACTTCAAACTATACTACAAGGCTACAGTAATCAAAACAGCATGGTACTGGTACCAAAACAGAGATATAAACCAATGGAATAGAACAGAGGCATCGGAGGCAACACAACATATCTACAACCATACAATCTTTGATAAACCTGACAAAAACAAGCAATGGGGAAAGGATTCCCTGTTCAATAAATGGTGTTGGGAAAACTGGCTAGCCATGTGCAGAAAGCAGAAACTGGACCCCTTCCTGACACCTTACACTAAAATTAACTCCAGATGGATTAAAGACTTAAACATAAGACCTGGCACCATAAAAACCCAGAAGAAAATCTAGGCAAAACCATTCAGGACATAGGAGTAGGCAAAGGACTTCATGACCAAAACACCAAAAGCATTGGCAACAAAAGCCAAAATAGACAAATGGGACCTAATCAAACTCCAGTTTCTGCACGGCAAAAGAAACAGTCACTAGAGTGAATCGGCAACCAACAGAATGGGAAAAAATTTTTGCAGTTTACCCATCTGACAAAGGGCTGATATCCAGAATTTACAAAGAACTCAAACAGATTTACAGGAAAAAAACAAACAAGCCCATTCAAAAATGGGCAAAGGATATGAACACACACTTTACAAAAGAAGACATACGTGAAGCCAACAAACATATGAAAAAATGCTCATCATCACTGGTCATTAGAGAAATGCAAATCAAAACCACATTGAGATACCATCTCATGCCAGTTAGAATGGCGATCATTAAAAAATCTGGAGACAACAGATGCTGGAGAGGATGTGGAGAAATAGGAACACTTTTACACTGTTGGTGGGAGTGTAAATTAGTTCAACCATTGTGGAAGACAGCGTGGCGATTCCTCAAGGCCTTAGAAATAGAAATTCCATTTGACCCAGCAATCCCATTACTGGGTATATATCCAAAGGACTATAAATCATTCTACTATAAGGACACATGCACACGAATGTTCATTGCAGCACTGTTTACAATAGCAAAGACCTGGAACCAGCCCAAATGCCCATCGATGATAGACTGGATTGGGAAAATGTGGCACATATACACCATAGAATATTATGCAGCAATCAAAAATGATGAGTTCTTGTTCTTTGTAGGGACATGGATGAATCTGGAGAACATCATTCTCAGCAAACTGACACAAGAACAGAAAATGAAATACCGCATATTCTCACTCATAGGCGGGTGATGAAAATGAGAACACATGGACACAGGGAAGGGAGTACTACACACTGGGGTCTATTGGGGGGAATAGGGGAGGGACAGTGGGGTGGGGGAGCCGGGGAGGGATAGCCTGGGGAGAAATGCCAAATGTGGGTGAAGGGGAGGAAGGCAGCAAAACACACTGCCATGTGTGTACCTATGCAACTGTCTTGCATGTTCTGCACATGTACCCCAAAACCTAAAATGCAATAAAAAAAAAATGTTTACTGTGTGCTAGGAACTGGTCTAAATACTTCTATGCATGATGTCATTTACCCTCACAGCATTTTTTTTTTTTTTTTTTTTGAGACGGAGTTTCGCTCTTGTTACCCAAACTGGAGTGCAATGACACGATCTTGGCTCAATGCAACCTCCGCCTCCTGGGTTCAGGCAATTCTCCTGCCTCAGGCTCCTGAGGAGCTGGGATTATAGGCACGCGCCACCACGCCCAGTTAATTTTTTGTATGTTTAGTAGAGACGGGGTTTCACCATGTTGACCAGGATGGTCTCGATCTCTTGACCTCGTGATCCACCTACCTCAGCCTCCCAAGGTGCTGGGATTACAGGCGTGAGCCACCGCACCGCATTCTTATGAGAAAGGTGCCATTATTATTATCCCCATGAGGGTCCTCCCTGAGGCCCACTGAGTATAAGTAAATTGCTCAAACTTATTCAGCTGTTAAGAAACTGGGCCAGAATTCAAACCTGGCCAGGTACGGTGGCTCACACCTGTAATCCTAGTACTTTGGGAGACCGAGATGGGCAGATTGCTTGAGCCCAGGAATTAGAGACCAGCCTGGGCAACATGGCAAAACCCTATCTCTGCCAAAAGTACAAAAACTAGCTAGGTGTGAGACACAGGTCTATAGTCCCAGCTACTTGAAAAGCTGAGGTGGGAGGATTGCTTGAGCCTGGGAGGTGGAGGTTGCAGTGAGCTGAAATCGCACCATTGCACACCAGCCTGGGTGACAGAGTGAGACCTCATCTCAAAAAAAAAAAAAAAAAAAAAAAAAAAGAATTCAAACCTGACCCCAAGCAGTCTGACTTGACTTTGTGCTTCTGGTCACTATACTATGCTATCTCCCACAAGTTAGCCAGGCAAGAAGAGGACATATGGTAGTGGGGTGACATGCAAGCAGAGGGAACAGCAGGCAGAGGGAGCCTGACATGTTTTAATGGCAGGAGAATAGGCTGGACAAGCGGGCAGAGACCATGTTGAAGGTTTTGCTCTTTATCCAAAAAGCAATAGGAAACCTCTGAAGAGTTCTAGGCTGGAGAGTAGCAAGATCAGATCTGTGTTTTTAAAATACCTCTCAGGCCAGGCGCCAGTGGCTCACGCCTGTAATCCCAGCACTTTGGGAGGCCGAGTTGGGCAGATCACAAGGTAAGGAGTTCAAGACCAGCCTGGCCAATACTGTGAAACCGTGTCTCTACAAAAAGACAAAAATTAGCCAGGCATGGTGACACACACGTGTAGTCCAAGCTACTTGGGAGGCTGAGGAAGGAGAATCGCTTGAACCCAGGAAGTGGAGGTTGCAGCAAGCTGAGACTGCAACACTGCACTCCATCCTGGGCGACAGAGTGAGTCTCCATCTCAAATAAATAAATAAAATAAAATACCTCACATGCAGAATAAATTACATGAGACCAGAATGGGCTAGCAGTCATGCAAGGAGAGAAATCAACAGGTCTAAGACAGATGCAGGAAATGGAATCATAGTGAGAGTTAGATACAAAGATGAAGAAGGGCTGCACACAGTGGCTCACACCTATAATCCCAGCACTTTGGGAGGCTGAGGTGGGTGGGTCACTTGAGGTCAGGAGTTCGAGACCAGCCTGGCCGACATGGTGAAACCCCATTTTTACTAAAAATACAAAAACTAGCCGGGCATGGTGGCACATGCCTGTAATCCCAGCTACTCAGGAGGCTGAGGCAGGAGAATCGCTTGGACCAGGCAGGCAGAGATTGTAGTGAGCCACGATCATGTCACTGCACTCCAGCCTGGGCAACAGAATGAGACTCCATCTCAAAAAAAAAAAAGAAAAAAAAAACCAAAGGAAAAAGAGAAGGGAGACTCCCAGGAGTTTCTGACTTAAGCAACTGTGTGGCTGGTGGTGCCATTCATAGTGGTAGCAACTCAAGGAAAGGACCCAGTGTAGTTTGGGAGAAAAGCTTTGGCCTTTCAGGCGCCCAAGAGACCTCATGTGGAGATGCCCAGCACATGGTAGATATCCAAGTCTGGCACTCACGAGAGAAGTCTGAGGTAGAGATTAGGAGTTACTGGCAGATGGCAGAAACTGAAACCACAGGAGAGGATGAGAACATGGAGAGAGCATGGAAAAGGGCCCAAGGCACTGCCTGCTTCCTGGGAAGGGCCAGCGTGAACCTTATGTGGAAGCATGAGCACAGAGCCTTGGTCAGCTGTCACTGTGATTCTGGGTTCTGTGCTTGGTGCCGGGGACTTGGCAGTGCACACACAGTCTGGGTTGCCATCTCCAATCCCTTCCTGGGCTGGGCCGGTACTGACCTCTCCCCATCCCCCACAGGGCCACCACCACCACTGAAGACCCGCTCTGTGCTCCGGGATGATGATGTCCTCTTGCCCTGTGACCAGCCATCAAACCTGGCCCGAGCCTTGTGGCTGTTCAATGGGAGCATGGGCCTGAGCGACGGGCAGGGTGGCTACCGTGTGGGCGTGGATGGGCTGCTGGTGACAGATGCACAGCCTGAGCACAGTGGCATGTATGGCTGCTATGCTGAGGAAAATGGCCTCCACAACCTGCTGGCCTCCTATAGCCTCACAGTCCGGCCAGCCACTCCTGCCCCAGCTCCGCAAATCCCTGCCACAGCTGGGGCAGAGCTGGCAGCTGTGACTGCTCTATGTGCTCACCATTGCCGCACTTGGTGGCCTCTGCCTCATTCCTGGCCTCTTCCCTCCTCTATGTGGCCTGTCTGCGGGAAGGCAGACGAGGGCGCCGACGGAAATACTCACTGGGTAGGGCCAGCCGGGCAGAAGGATCTGCTGTGCAGCTAAAGACAGTCTCAGGCCAGTGTCCTGGAGAGGAAGATGAGGGTGATGATGAGGAGGGGGCTGAGGGCCTGGAAGGCAGCTGTCTCCAGATCATCCCTGGAGAGGGAGCCTGAGCCCCAGTTCCACGGCCTCCACCGCCCCCACCGCCACCTGCTGAGCTGACCAATGGCCTGGTGGCACTGCCCAGCTGGCTGCAAAGGGCGAATAGCAATAGCTACATGCTCCTGAGGCAGAGCAACAGTGGAGTACCAGCAGGGCCCTGCTCCTTCGCCGAGGAACTCAGTCGCATCCTGGAGAAAAGGAAGCACATGCAGCTCATAGAGCAGCTAGATGAGAGCTCCATCTGAGCCCAGCCTCCAGAACAAATGCTCTTCCAAGCCAGCCCGCCTGTCCCAGGCTGGGCCACTGCGTCCCTAACACAGCCACCAGACCTTCATTCCCCCCACTCCATGCCCTCCTCCCAACTTTTTGATGTCCTTGTAGGGCTGGCCAGTCAGGCCCAGCCAAAGCCCCCTCCTCAGTTTCCACAGACCCACATGTGAGCAGCCCAGGCCCATCGGTGCTCCTCAGAGGTAGGTGTTCCCTCAGGACCAGGTGCCCTGCAGACCCAGAGCCAGTTCCTAGCCCCTTAACCTAAACACTTAGAGGAGAGGACTCCATCCTCCTGTTCCATTCATCTGCCCAAACCCTTTCTCTTTCTCCCAGGCAAGGCTCTGCAGCTCCATATGGCCTGAATGTCACCACGCTCTGCATGGCCCTGTGTGCTGGATGGTCCTGAAACCAGACAAGACCTCTGCCAGCCACCTAAGCCCTGTATACATTCACAGGCACACGTGGAAGAATGTTTATCAGCTGGGCTGCAGTGCCCCCACCCTCACTTTCTCCTAGTGCATTCTTGTTTCATCCCTGCTTCTGGACTTGGGGTACCCTCCCAATTGCCACATCCTATCTGGTCCTCTTCCCCAACTCCAGCTCCATGTGGTGACCTCTTTGGCAAGAGCTTGGGAACGGGCCAGCCTAGGGAGGTAAGACTGCATCACTCCCCTCCTCTCCCTTCCAGTGCAGCCCTTGTGAATCAGCCTCCCCACTCTCCTTGGTCATTCTCAAGTGTTAAGAGACAGAGCCCCAGGCATGTCCCATCCCCGTGCACATGTGGTTTAACACATACCTGTGTCACACATGTGCTTACATTTCTACTCACACATACCTTTGAGCCTCCCCTTGCTGCCTCAGACCTGTGTCTGTTGGATTTGGCCCATGGACATTTCAGAGGGAGATTTCCTTTCCCACTTAGCTGTCCTCACAGGCCCTTCCCTAGGATGGATGACCAACACTGCACTCAATTAACCAGCCTCTCTTTTGGGGGAATCAAGCTTTTTCTTCCCCTAGACTACAGCAGAGAAAGGGAGGAGAAATCTGATGTCTCAACTGGCACATGAAGCCCGTTTTTGGAACTATGCAAAGGGCAGAGGCTGGGAGTTTGGATGCTTAGCTCCTACCCCTGTCCTACCTCACCGGGGCACTTTCCGGGTCCAAGGATTTCTGAAGTCTCTAGGCCCATATGGGACAATCAATCCTGACTGAGCTCCCCCATGCCCCTCAGGTGAGGATGACTGTTATTTTTGTAGCTGAGAACATGGAATCCCATGGGTTTTTACTGCCCGTCACCCAGCCTCTCCCACCTCCACCCCACAATGAATGTATTTATTGTGAGAATGGCTACACTTCTTTAGGAATGCCCCCACTTACCTGGGTGGAACAGGCATGTGACAGAGTGGGGAGCTCCTCCCCCTGCTGTTGGTTAATAAACACCCTCTTTCCCCACAGCTAGGAGCAGTCTGCTTCATCTAGATGGGCCCACCCCTGATCACCAGGGACAGGCTCAAGCCTATACAGAAGGTGCTACAGTGATGTCTGCCTCCAGGGTTGGCCCTGCTCCCCTAATACAACTATTTGCAGAGGAAACTGGGATATTCAGTTTCCATCTTGACTCCTTGGCAGGCACACAGGCCCTTTTATTAAGATTCACACTATTCATTAATTATGGTATTAGGACATGGCAAGAAAAGCAGTTCAAGAATTCTTACAAGGGTTTCTAGATTTTTATTTCCTCTCATTTCTCCACCATCTTCCTCTTTAAAAACAAAACACAATAAAACTAAGCCTAGAAAATACTCACTAGTCAGCCTTCCTGCCCTTCCCCATGGTTCTCAGCACCCCCACCAGCTGGCTCAAGGGACACAGATGTTATTTCTGCACAGAGAGGGGCCCTGGGGGAAGGAGGTGTATAGCTAAGACCAGAGAGAGCTTGTTACCCAGGGCTTGGGCTGAGAATCACTCCCTTCTCCCATTCAGGGTCAGGCCTATATTAAACACATGGCCTTTGAAACTAACCACCCTGAGGGTTGTTATATGTTCTGTGTGGATTTTTAAACAATGAAATTTGGGGCCTGGGCTTAACATATGCACACATTTTGAAGTAAGACCTGAAATGACCTTGGGTAAGTTTAACCTCAGTTTTATAAATCCTTAAACAAACAGTCACACAGATATAAAGTGCCTAGCCCATCAGAGCAGAGAAGAGCTCTGTATAGCTCACTTGTTGTACCAATAAGATATCAGGGATTCTTCAGAAGCCAGCCTTGAGACGTCTTTTTGAGATCATTATTATCAGTTCGGACTTCAAAAACAAAGGCCCTGTAAAACCCTTGAAGTCTTCCTCATCTCAGGTTTTAGCGATGTCACTTGGATAAAAATTAAGGGTTCACAAAGGTCACTGCCCCCAGAAGCAGGCACTGGAAATAGATAGGCAGCTCTTCTTTATCCCAAGCAGAACCTGTGTCAGCTTCCCCACTGATGGGTTCCATTTGCCTACCTGGGCTTCGACTCCCAAAGAGGAACAACCATCTCTACTGGAGAACCAGTCCAAAGACTGGGGTTGGAGTTGGTGGGGCAACTCTTCACTGTGCTTGCAGCTGGGCTGAGGCAGGATCCTGGACCTCTCGGGGGCGTCGCCCGTGGAACGTGGTCGATTTGTTGGTAAAGGGGTGCCACTGGCCCTGGATGCTAGGGTTGTCGGTGTGGAAGGGCTTGCGGATGCGGATCACATCCAAGCCCGACTGGTTGGCCAGCTTCTGCACCAGCGTCGAGATCTCCTCGACCGACTTGCAGTGGATGCTCTCCTCGCGCACAGCCCCGTTAACTGGCAGGAGACAGGCGAAAGCGAGTGAGTGAGCGGAAAGCTGGCCGGTGCGGCCAGGCGAGAGGGAAGCTAGCCGGCCGAGCTCCCGATCCCGCCCTCCAGCTTGAGCGTGGCCCCACTCACGGTATTCCGCCACTATTCTGGGCACGCAGCACGGACGCGAGTTCACATATATTACGACCCCTGGGTTCCGTCGGGCGAAGTCGATCACCTCCCGTTCCACGAACTCCCTAAGGGACCCGGGAGAGTGAGCAGTAAGACTCCTAACCCGGGTCGACCTACCCGGGAGTCGTCGCCACCCCCACCCCCACCCCCAGCCCCAGCCCCAGCCCCGGCCCCGGCCCCGCCCGCGCCCGCGTACTTCCCTTGGCTCACCTGGCGCCGCGAGACGAGGGGCCGTCACGGCTGACACTGAAGCTCAGACGCTGCAGCTGCTGCACGTAGCGACCCAGTCCGTTGTGGAGAACACTGGCCAAGAAGCGGCTCGGAGTCCCGCGCGCAGTCATAGCTAGTGCTAAGAGGCAGCGGAGTCCAAGCGGCGAGAGAGGGCGGGACTAAACGTCGAGACTTCCGGTGCCGGGACGACGACTCACGTCACGGAGTTGTGCTTCCGAGGTCAAGGCGAGTAGCGTGTGCCGGAGACTCACGCTGCTGGCGAAGTGGAAGAGACGAGAGTGGTCACCCGGGGCCGGGGGTCGCCACGGAGGAGCTCAGAGTAGTAGGGCAGAGTGAAGACACGGAGAACGAGAGAGACGGGTATTCCTTTGGGCTCGGGACTTGGCAGGAGTCGTGTAGGGCGCTCTCGCCGCGTTGACGTCCCAGTGAGGGGAAGGAGCAGCGGAAGAGGGTCTCTAGTTGGCGCCTAGGGCAAAGGGACTACAAAAAGGATGCCGATGGCTACAGAGATGAGGACGACGAGGAGATGCTGTGGAGGGGTAGTAGAGGTGAGGAGATGATGCAGAGAAAGCGTATCAGTGAGGAACTGTATAGAGGGTCAGAGAGCTGAGGGGGTGGAGAGAAACTGGAACGGATCATAGAGGTGAGGGAGCCATTGTAGAAGGACATGGACGTGAAAGGGTCATGTAGCTGGGCATATGTGTGAAGTAGCAACGTAGAGGGTCTGAAGAGGAGAAATTCATGGAGAGAAAGAAGGCGCCTAGAGTGAGCTCCTCAGAGTGCTGCGTGGGGTATACTTAGAGTCTGGTCTATTGAAGGCACGCTAACCAGGCCCCTAAGGCATTTTAAGTAGTGCATTCCCACATTTGGCTAGGAATGTGGGTCCTCCTCCGAGGTGGGAACCCCCTCCGTATCTTCCTACCCCAGCGTGGGGAGTGGATGGGTCGGAGGGGCCTTCCCCGAGGCTTGGCCCCAGGGCCTCCTCGCAGACGGTACAGGAAGAAGGCTCTCCCAGCGTTGGAGATACCAGTGTTGCCTGTAACTGTAACCGAAATCCGCCAGTATTTGCGGGGGCGTGGGATCCCCTTCCAGAATGGCCACAGTTGCCTGCGGACACCGAGCCCCTTTGTAGAGTCTTCGCAGCTCAAAGACCAGACTGCTGTTACCACTTCTTTCAGCCTCTACATTGACAAGACCACAGGCCGCTTTCTCTGCATGACCAGCCTAGCAGAGGGGAGCTGGGAAGACTTCCAGGCTAGCGTGGAGGGGGGAGGGGATGGAGCCAGTGAGGGGCTTCTGCTTAGTAAGGCTCCAGAAGTTGAGGACAGTGAGGAGGTCCGGAGGATCTGGAACCGAGCAGTACCTCTCTCGGAGCTGCCTGATCCGGAGGAGGTTCAGCTGGCTTACACAATGTTTGGCCTTACCAACATTACAGATGACACACTCAAGCGTTTCAGTGTGCGATATCTGCGACCTGCCCGCAGTCTTGTCTTCCCTTGGTTCTCCCCTGGGGCTCAGGATTACGAGGCCTGAAGCTACTGCAGGCTAAATGCCAGGGGGATGGAGTGAGCTACGAGGAAACCACCATTCCCCAGCCCAGTGCCTACCACAATCTGTTTGGATTACCACTGATTAGTCGTCGAGATGCTGAGGTGGTTCTGACGAGTCGTGAGCTTGACAGCCTGGCCTTGAACCAGTCCACGGGGCTGCCTACCCTTACTCTACCCCAAGGAACAAGCTGCTTACCCCCCGCCTTACTCCCTTACCTGGAACAGTTCCGGCGGATTGTATTCTGGTTAGGGGATGACCTTCGGTCCTGGGAAGCGGCCAAGTTGTTTGCACGAAAACTGAACCCCAAACGATGCTCCTTGGTTCGGCCAGGTGATCAGCAGCCTCGTCCCCTGGAGGCCCTGAACAGAGGCTTAAATCTTTCTCGTATTCTTCGCACCGCCCTGCCTGCCTGGCACAAGTCTATTGTGTCTTTCCGGCAGCTTCGGGAGGAGGTGCTAGGAGAACTGTCAAATGTGGAGCAAGCAGCTGGCCTCCCTTGGAGCCGCTTCCCAGACCTCAATCGTATCTTGAAGGGACATCGAAAGGGCGAGCTGACGGTCTTCACAGGTAACCCTTTGAGAAATCACTACTTAGGGTAAAGGGGCAGAGGATCAGGAGACAAAAGCATGTGGGTTTGGGCCACTGACAATGTTGAACAGAAAGTTTGCCGCTTCCCTCCAGTGTTAAAGCTCTGAGCTGTGTCTTGGTTTCATGGGTAGGACTTCCTCCTCACCCAGCTCTGTTCCACCCCGATGCAGGGCCAACAGGCAGTGGAAAGACAACATTCATCAGTGAGTATGCCCTGGATTTGTGTTCCCAGGGGGTGAACACACTGTGGGGTAGCTTCGAGATCAGCAATGTGAGACTAGCCCGGGTCATGCTGACACAGTTTGCAGAGAGGCGGCTGGAAGATCAACTGGACAAATATGATCACTGGGCCGACCGCTTTGAGGACCTGCCCCTCTATTTCATGACTTTCCATGGGCAGCAGGGCATCAGGTGAGGCTCCCAGGTTTCAGGCACCTCGCTTTCCCAGACAGATTCCAGCACTCAGGAACCTCTGGTTTCTTTTCCAGCTCCAGCAGGAATTCCTTCAGCTCCTTAGGTTTGGAGTTTTTCAACGAATGATAGGGCAGGCCTGGGCACATGTGGCTCATGCCTGTAATCCCAGCACTTTGGGAGGCTGAGGTGAATGGATCACTTGAGCCCAGGAATTTGAGACCAACCTGGGCAATGTAGGGAGACCCGCCACCCCCCCCCATAAATTTCTTTTTTTTAATTAGGCTGGGCATGGTGGTGGCACACACCTGTGGTCCCAGCTACTCGGGAGACTGAAGTAGGAGGACTGCTTGAGCCCAGAAGGCTGGGGCTGCAGTGAGCCGTGATTGCATCGCTGCACTCCAGCCTGGGCTAGAGAGCAAGACCCTATCTCAAATCATCATAACAATAGAAGGGCAGAAGAGGCAGCCAGGAGAGTTTTCAGGATGCCCATTCTTCTGCTTGGGGTGGTCTAGAGACAACTTGTCTACCTTCTTGCCTCTCCTCTTCTCAGGACTGTGGTAGATACAATGCAACATGCGGTCTACGTCTACGACATTTGTCACGTGGTCATCGACAACCTGCAGTTCATGATGGGTCACGAGCAGCTGTCCACAGACAGGTGACATCCTCTCTTGTCTAGCTTGAGCCCGCTTGGACATACAACACACCCTTCTCAGGCAGCTGGCCTCTAGGCACACACGGTGTGCTCTCTTATTTTCTGAAATGTGTGCAGGCACGTACCACCCCCATGTGCATCATATGGAGGTGTGGGGTGTGGCAGCAGGATGTATGGACAGGGATCTGAGTGAGTCCTTGGGTAGAGGGAGGTAGAGCGGGTTGTGGTAGTTTGTGGGGAGTTGTGAATGAATCGAGAGTCTGGGTACGCTCTTGCCCTTCTCTGTCTAATAAGCTCTTTGTGTTGCTGGGATGGGGGCAGGATTGCAGCTCAAGACTACATTGTTGGGGTCTTTCGGAAGTTTGCGACAGACAATAACTGTCATGTGACGCTGGTCATTCACCCCCGGAAAGAGGATGATGACAAGGAACTGCAGACAGCATCCATTTTTGGCTCAGCCAAAGTGAGTGGCCTTTAGAGGAGCTCAAGCTTTGGAAAGTAGCGTGGGCAGGTGTGACCAGGGACAGCCCTCATTCGGCCTTAATCATCCTGACTGTCCGTCTGGAGCAGGCAGGAGGCAGTGCCTCTGGGGCCATGACATGAGGAATGTGTGTGCTGGGAATACAAAGGCTGATAGTAGCTGGTTCTTTGCTCTCCTTGCCCTCCAAAAGCTCACATCCTCTCATGTGGGAAACAGTGAGACAGAGACTGCAGCTCAGTGTGATAAGAGCCATGACAGGGCAGCACAAGTATTTGGAGAGCAAAGAGAAAAGATGTCCGAGTCAGCCTGGAACATCTGGGAGACTTCCCAGAGGGGGTGACACAAAGGTTGGTTTGAGGTTTGGTAGACAGTGGGTATTAGACAGTCAGGTAAATGGGAGGGCCTTTTGGGCATGAGGCCTAGCACAATCCTGGAGCTTCTAGTGATACACTGAATGCGTTACATACCAGGCCTGGGCTGGACACAGGGAATTCAGGGCAAGGAGCACAAATCATGTGCCATGATGTAGCAAACATGGAGCTGGGAAAAAGAGTAATGCAGAAGGGGGAAATGGCAGGGTACTCTGGCTCATGCCTGTAATCCCAACACTTTGGGAGGCCGAAGCAGGAGGATCGCTGGGGCCCAGGAGTTTGAGACCAACCTGGGCAATGTAGTGACACCTCGTCTCTACAAAAACTTTTGAAAATTAGCTGGGCATGGTAGCATGCACCTATAGTCCCAGCTACTCAGGAGGCTGAGGTGGGAGGACTGCTTGAGCCTGGGAGGTTGAGGCTACAGTGAGCTGTGCTCAACGCCAGTGCACTCCACTCCAGCCTGGGCAGCAGAGCAAAACCCTGTCTTCTAAAAAAAAAAGGAGAATCGTCTCCTTCGTGAGATGTGACATTTAGACTGAGACGTAAATGAGAAGAAGCTGAGGTCGAATGGGGTGGCCCACTGTGGAGCAGGAGAGGGAACAGCATGGGCAGTGTGTGAGCAGCAAGCTTGTCAGGGAACTGAAAGATTTTTATTGGCCCCAGTATCATGGTCAGTAGTTCAAAGAGCTTTGTGATGAGGGGAAGTACTTTTCCCTCTTCCCATTCTTATCACTCCTCCCTGCCCTGTCAGCCTTCCTTTCTGCTTTGTTCATGTCTTCTTACTCCCACTTTCCTCTTTCTGCCCTCTGTTCCCCAGGCAAGCCAGGAAGCAGACAACGTTCTGATCCTGCAGGACAGGAAGCTGGTCACGGGGCCAGGGAAACGGTATCTGCAGGTGTCCAAGAACCGCTTTGATGGGGATGTAGGTATCTTCCCACTTGAGTTCAACAAGAGCTCCCTCACCTTCTCCACTCCACCAAAGAACAAGACTCGGCTCAAGAAGATCAAGGATGAAGCTGGACCAGTGGCCAAAAAGCCCTCTTCTGGCAAAAAGGGGGCTACACCACAGAAATCTGAGAGTTGCTCAGGCAAGGCCCCCATTCTTGACCAGCCTGATACCTCCAAGCCTTCAAAGTGAGGGCGGTGCAGAGCTAGTCACTGAAATAAGCCTGATAGGACAGGCAGGCTGGGGCGTAAAACACAGGGCTTCTGTATCCTGTGATCATGAGCTGTGTGTCTGAGGGGCCTAACCTAGGGCAGACTTCCGAAGTGAGAAAATTCAACGTAGCAGACTACTTAGAAACCACTGTGTGCCGGGCTTTGTTCAAGGTCCTGTATATACAGCACTGAAAAGAGAGATAAGGTCTCTGCTCCCATGCATTCTAGTGGAAGAGACAAGCAAGCAACGAGCAAATAAGCAGAAAACCTAGTTTTAGTTCATGAAAAATGTTGTAAAGAAAATAGAAATGCGGGCTGGGTGCAGTGGCTCGCACCTGTAATCCCAGCACTTTGGGCGGGCAGATCGCGAGGTCAGGATTTCGAGACCAGCTTGATCAACATGGTGAAACCCCATCTCTACTAAAGATACAAAAATTAGTTGGGTCTGGTTTCGCGCACCTGTAATCCCAGCTACTCAGGAGGCTGAGGCGGGAGAATCACTTGAGCCCAGGAGGTGGAGGTTGTGGTGAGCTGAGATCACGCCACTGCACTCCAGCCTGGGCAGCAGAGCAAGACTCTGTCTCCAGAAAAAAAAAAAAAAGGAAAAGAAAATAGAAATTCGATAGCATGCTGGCAGGGTATTGTGGATAAGTGGTCTGAAAAGGTGTCTCTGAGCTGAGGGCATGTGAGCTGGGGCCTAAACAACTAGAAGGAGAGAGCCACATGAACATCCAGAGAAGGGGATCCAGGAGAGGGAAAGGAAATAGCAAGCGCTGAGGTAGGAATGAGCAGGTCAGAACCCAGGCAGTGAGGTCAGGCCCCCTGAATCTGGGAGGCATAGGCGACTTCATGCAAAAACCCCAGCCCAGGCTTTAAGAGCCTAAGGGTAATATGGTGGGTCCCAAGCCCCTCTGCTCCCCACTTTGTAGAGCCTGGCACGAGGTAGCAATGACTAGAATCGGATTCTAGGTGCTTAGCCTGCAATATCAGGGCTTCATGGGGTGGTGGGGAGGAGCTGCCACCCGCTGGGTTGCTTGGCCATAGAGCCGTAGAAGGAAGCTGTCAGCCCACAGTGCCTGCCACCTACATACTGATGCCATTGTGTGCTGCCTCAGACACCTGGAGTTAGGACGTTTTGTAGAGCCTTTTCCAGTTTTACTAAAATATTTTTTCATTGCCTCTGTTTCTGTGCTTTTTCTTATTCATCCACCAGGTGTCTCCCCAGTCCGTAGCTGAATTTCCCTCTCAGGACTGGGAATAAATGGGTTCCCTCCCACTGCTTGCAGCCTTTGAGCGGTGGGCTTCCGAGGAAGCAGGGACATTAAGGGGCCTTCACACCCCACCTCCCCTTTCCATCTCTTCTTGGCCTAGGGAAAGCAAGATGGTCTGTCCTCATGCCTAACTTCCCTGAGGATCTTGAGTGACTCCTGCACAGGTGCTCATTCCTGGGCCACATGCCCGGGCCCTCCCTGACTGGCCATTCCTCTGTGATGTGAGCCACTCACCTCCCTAGTGGACTTAGACTCAACATATTCTCTCTACCCCCCTCCATCTCCCATACCCTCTCCTTGATTCTTTTACGTTCATGTGTGCCAGAACTCCTGGAGATGTGTGAAAAATGTAGAACCTGGGCCCCATTCTCCCATCCTCCACCACATACATTTGTCATTCTGGAAATTTGAGGAGGGATACAGTAATCCTCATATCTAGCAAGCCCTGGAGGAGACTGTAAAATAAGTGATCCAGAGGCACTGTCAGAAATATGCCTAAATGATGACACCTTCTCATCTCTCGTCCTCTGATATCCAGAAGTCCCAGTTTCCCTTTGGATTTGCCTGAAAGAGTCGTGAGAATGCAAGATGTTCTGAGAGGGCTGGGGAGAATCCTTTTGTAAGGTTTGGGGGAAGGTTTCTTGCTCCCTTTGGAAGCAGGGCTGCCTTGTGAAGGTCTTCCTTTCAACCTAAGAAGGGGCTTCTGGGACTGGTGGAGGGGTCTGTGGTCTCTGGAGTGAGAACTGTGGCCACAAATGTCTCCTGAAACATGGGGAGCAAGGCTGCTGGAAAGCTGCTGTCTGTGAGGAAGAACCTGTGGGTTGGGAGAGCTCCTCTAGGGCCTCCCTTCTTGGGGGTCTCTCCCAGACTGGCTGGAGCCAGGCCTCCCTAATCCCACAGTAATCATTCCCAGCCGTTGGCTGTTCTAGGCCTCATCCAGAGCCTGTACTATTGAACAGCAGCCCAGCCATGTCTTCCAGAGGCACAATACCAGATGTGTCCTACCTGGGAAGATGTGGGTTCCACATTCCTGTCTCCTTGGAATGCCTGGTGGGTTCTCAGGAGATCCTTTAGAAGTTTTCAGTAGGGGACCTTTGTTAGGTCTCTGTGAACTGGGAATAGAGGGATAGATACAGACTTGCCTGTTTGTCTTGCCCCACCCTTCTAGTATACACCCCCACACAGCACAAACCAGAATGATGGGGAGGGGAAGCCAATAACCCCCCAGCCCCACTGCCTGCACAGACACATTCTACTCCATGCCTGCCTTAAACACCCCATGTCATGATCAGGCCTAGTCTATTCAGATCCCTGGATTCTAGAAAGCAGTGCGGTGTCCCTAGGGCCTATGCAGATTTCCTGGGACAGGACTGGTCTGCCTACAGCCAACTGGATGGTAAGAATCTCCCTGACTCGCAGGTTCGGTGGATTGGGAAGAAAAAAACATTTCAAAAAAATCTCCCTGAGAATTCAGGAAAGGCCTGGCTGAGTCAGGTTCAGTTGCATCTGCAGCCCTGTCCTGTGATGGACAGTGTGTGTCATACTTGGCTGTGAGGGGTCAGCTTTGGTCCTCCAGCAGTTTATTCTCTGCAGTGGATGGATTTCAGAAGCCACAACTCACCGAGGTCTCCTGCAGCTCATATGGCCCAAGTACCTGTAGACCTACCCACATGCTGCCTTGAGTGACATGGTGGGAGGGAGCCCTTGGGGCCTCCTTGCAATACAGGCCAACTTCCTGTTTGTGCCTGTGGGTGGGACTTTATGAGTCTAAAAGAAGCCCAGCCATGCCCCCTGGGAGGTCAAAACCGGCAGGCCTGCTCACCTGGGCAGACACCTACTCCAGGGAGGGGGCTGTGCTGGTTCTGCTTGGGCGGCCCCAAGTGAGGTGTGTGCGTGGTGGGGGTAGGTGGGAGCTGCTCTGGTGAAACTCAAGTCTTCTTTGTGTGCTTCCCAGGGGTTTTCCTTGTACTTGGGTATTGGGCCCAGAGTGGACTGGTTGGGCTCCCAACCGAGCAGGGCGGAGAGTGGCGGAGTCAGGCTCTATCGGCAGCTTAGTTAAGGCAGCCAGGTAGCAGAATTCTCGGTCACGTGATGATCGCCCCTTTTCCCCAGGTGGAAAACCAAGTCCGGTAAGCTGTGAAGTCAGAGGCCAGAGAGGCATCCTCCGCCACTGTCTAGCCACTGTTGGGCTGGGCACTGGGTCGGCTGTTGGTGGGGTGCGGGGCAGACCACTCCCCTCCCCGGGTGGGGGGCGCGGCCTGAGCCGCCCTGCCCCGCCCCGCTCTGCTCCACCAGGTCCTGCCAGGCGGGCGCCGGGAGCCGGGAGCCGGGAGCCCGGAGCCCGGAGCCCAGAGTTCGGAGCGAGCTAGGGAGCCGGCGTTGTCGCAGCGAGGAGGCGAGCGCGTTGGAGCAGGAGCGGCGCCGGAGCTGTAGCCGAGGCGCAGCTGGCGCTGGGTGAGTGGTGGGCGGCGGAGGTGCAGGAACTCCCGCCTCCTGCACATCCCCGCTCCAGAGCGAACTTTCCGCTTCTGGAGAAGCTGGGGGTGGGGATGAGGAGTGGGGTCGGGCGCAGGCGAAGAGTCAGAACAGGGAAGCGACACGGAAACGCATGCCAACGGGTCCCCACACACGCGTGCACAGACCCACGCCCGCACTTGGGACATGCGAATACACAAGCACTCGGAAAGGACGCGCCCAGTTGGCTACCCTTGCACTCCCAGGGACAGCGCCAGCCGGCGCGCGCGTACCCCCAGCGGCCAGGACACTCTGCGGTCGCGTATTGGGTGGGGGAAAGGGGCAGCCCCGTGCCCGCAATGGAGGCGGGCCGGGTGGGACGCACCCAGAGGTTCCTGCTTCCTGGCCGCCCGCAGGTGAAGACCAAGACGTAAACAGGCGTGGCGCACGTGATCGCTCCGCAGATCAGTGGCCAGTGCTCCCAACCCCACCACGGGGCGGGGACCCCAACCCCAGTCCCGGGCGCGTTTGCCTGGTCCCAGGCCGGACGGCGTTCCATTCTCCGCCTGGAGCCGGGATAAACCCTCTCCCAGGCACCGGAGCACAGCGCCCCCTGGAGCCGGGGCGGAGCAGGAGGGCCGGGCTGCTGGGCAGGGCCGGGGTAACTCGGGCTCCTGGACGTCCTTCTTCCCAGCACATTCTTGGTGTCTACATCCCGGAAAGTTTCGGAGACAGGCCCTTGATGACAGTGGACAGCTGCCCCCGCCTATTAACCCCAGCCCAGAGAGCAGCTGTCTGAGCGCCTGAGGGTCCCCTTCCTACCCTCACTTCCACTTTTTGTGGGATTCCGAGTCTCCTCCCCCGAGAAAATTCATGAGTGTAAACGCCCCCTCAATACTGGAGTGGGCCTACCCCCCTAGCAAAAGGAGGGCGAGCTCCTCCCCCCAGGGAATGAGGGAGTGGGCAGTAGCTTGATTCCTTTTCCCCGCCCCACCCCCCCCACCCCTACACACACACGCTGAGCCCAGCTGCTGCCTGAGATGGGCAGGCTGCCAGAAAGAGGAGGAGGCTCTCTGTGCCCCAGGAGGCAGGGATCAGGGCAAGGCCAGAGGAGGGGGCTTTGCTGGGGAGAGGGGCTCAGTCTGTTCTTGTGAGGCTGAGGGTCTGGGGTGAGTCTGAGGGTGGCTGGGCTGTGTTTCCCTTTCCAGGGAAAAAGAAAGAAAAACAACCCTATCCATAGAGCTAAAAATAGAGCTGAGAGCGGGCCAGGGCTGTGGCCTGGAAGGGGGGGATGCTCCTTCCTGGGGCCCGGACGAGCTCTGGCAGGCCTTGGCCCTGGGGGGGAGGGAGTCCTTAGGGGAGAAAGGCTGTCTTTGCCCAGGGATGCAGGCATCAGCTGACCTGACCGGGTCACCGAGACCCTTAAGGGAAAGGCTGTGCTATAGGATATTTGTGAAGCACGGCGTGTGTGTAAGAAGTTGTCCGTGTGAGTGAATGTCAATAGAGGCTGTCAATGTGTGAAAGATGGCCAGGAGACTAAGTGCATTTGAGACTGTGACTGGGTGCGAAGGACTGCGAATTGTGGAAGCCTCTCCACAACAGGCCTGTGACACCGTGTCTGTGTGTGACATGGACTGGAAGATTATGGAAAGAAGGAACGCGGTCCCACGTGACAGCTGAGACTGCTTGTGGCTGCGTGGTGAGGCTGCCTATGGGAAAGGTCGTGTGGGTGTTAGGGACTGTGTTGTGCGCGAGAAGGTGAAAATGTCTGCGATCCTGAGAAAGTGGAATGTTGTTTGCCGTGAGGCTGGTGTAGGTTTGGGCTGTAGGCTGGAACCGGCTCGCCCAGTGATATTGGGGAGCCAGGACTGCCCCTCTCTGAGAAATGGCCTCTCTTTTTAAAAAGTGATCCCAAGGGGAGGCCGGCCTGGGTTCGCGGGGGAAAGGACACCGTGCCGGGGAGTGGGACAGGGCCAGTGTGGTGGGGGGAGGCTGAGTGTGTTCTTCGAGTCGGCCGCCAGGTGGCGCCGCCTCCGCGAAGCCCAGGTTGCCGCCTGCAACCCGCCGCGGGTGGGGCAGGCGCGGACCGAGCTTTGGCCACCGTCTCACGCTAGGGCGCGGGGCCCCCGGACCGGAGAGTGGGGGGCGGCCGGCCCTCGGCCTCCTGCTTGGGACCCTGAGGCTGAGAGCGTGTCAGGGAATTTTCGCCTGGAGAAGCCGAGGGGGAGGGGCGGCCGCCGCCGCCTCGCCGGGGCTCTTTGTGCTGTAACAATGACCAGCTGCCGCCGGCCCCCGGGCCCGGGCTGGGGCGGAGGGTGACCGCCGCCGCCGAGCCGAGCCAAGTCCCCGGACACGTAGTCACAGGGCGTCGGAAGGAGGGCTCCCGACTGCCGCCGAGCAGCCCCTACGTGCGCCCCGGCGGACTCGCGTGACGCGGGTGCCGGAGCGTGTCCGCGGCCCGGGGCGGGGACGGCCCTCGGACCCTCCCTTGCGCAGCGCCGCCCACTCGCACTGGGCGGGGGCTGGCCTGGGCCGGGGGGCGCCGCGGAGGCGGAGGCGGGCCGGCCCGGGCCGCTCGGAGTGGCGGCGCGCGGGCCGGGATCGGGGCCGGAGCCGGGCGGCGCGCCTGTGGAGCGCTGGGGGCGGCCTGGGGCTGAGCATGGAGCAGCGCGGCGGAGGTGAGGGGGGGGCCGGGGCTGGGAGGCGGCCTGGGGCGCCCCCAACTTCTGCGCGGTGGAGTCCAGCGGGGAGAGGGCATTGCCCAGCCGCCCCCACTTTCTTGAAGCGGGTCTGGCCCCTGGAGAATGGGTTGGGGGCTCCCCGCTTCCCGCCGCGGAGCGGGAACTCGTGATCGCAGACTTGACCCCGCTAGACTGGTTCTTGGAGTTTGGGTGGGAGGGAGACTTTGCCCAACTCTTCAGACCCCTCGCCGGCCCTGGACGAGCTCCAGCCCTCCGCTCCCCACAGCCCGCTAAAAGGGGGATGCTCCTGGGTCAGAGTGATTGCTTAGGGAGTGCTGAGGAGAATGAGGGGTTCCCATCTCCCACAGCCACAAACGCATTTCTCAAAATGGAGCCGCCACTTGCCCCTCCTTCTCTCTCGGGCTCCAAGAGCGGGAGCCGGGCCGGCTGGGCCTGGCTTTCCAGACTCCTGGCTCTGGCTCCCTGGGTGTGTGGCTCTCAGGGCCCAGCTCTGTGGCACTTTGGACTTAGGGGCCCTCGGCTCCATGGGGTTGGGGGGCCCTGGCTCACTGGGTCTGCCTGGCTTTCTCCTTGTCAGCCTGACCCTCGGGCCTCTCCGAGTCTTTGTCTCTTTTGGGTTCCTGTCTTTCTCTGAGTCTGTCTCCTTCCTTCAGTTTTCACTTTCTCCCTGCTCGATGAAGTGGGGAAATACAGCAGAGGTGCCAGCCCCCTGGGCCCCCTAAGTCCCTTCCCCACTGTTCTTTCCATACCCTGGAGTGGACCCAGAGACGGGAGGGGAGGGGAAGGGGTTCTCTATCTGCTCTGCTCGGGGCTGAGACCGGTGGGGTGGTCTGAGCTGCAGCCCTGCATAGAGGCCTGTGATTGCTCCCTGGGCCTGGCTCACCCCTCCCCCAGCTCCCCACAGCTCTGGCCCCAGCCTGAACACCTCTTCCTGGTTCGCAGTGTCTTTTGACTTGGGTGGGAAGGAGGGCAGTGGATTTAATGGAGCGCATACGAGAAAGAAGGGGAACAGATCAGGCAAAGGAGTTAATGTCCCACCTCTCCCCACATGCCAGAGGGGGAAGGAAAGAGGCTCCCTTCACCAGCTGGTCCTCAAGCCACCCAGGCTCCCACCACTCTGGTACCTACCTGCCCACATTTACAGGCTCACCTGCACACCCTGGTGCACTCACCTTTCTAGTCACACACTCAAACACTTAGGAGCTCACACATAAACTCATATGCTGACGCATCTGTCCAGGCACCGTCTCATCCACACACCACAAATTCACATTTATAACTTTCACAGGCTTTCTAAGAATGACCCCTTACCCATGTACTTTTGTAAGATATACACATGTGAATTCACACGGGAACTCGTGTGTGAATGTGCTGATAACATCAAACATGCATAGACTCACATTCATATTTTCACACACATTTTCGTATATACACATGGTGTTCATTTCCATGCTCCTGTGCATGTAGTCACACAACAAATAACTAAATGCACACACTCCTACTCCCAGTGCAATTCTCTGTCCACTTCTTGGCCCCGCTCTGCATGATGACTTCAGCAGATGCCTAAGTCCTGGTCATCAGTGGCCTCAGGACTGGGAGTAGGGAGGGGGTTCCGGGTGGAGGCTCACATCTGCTTCCTGGAAGGAGCAGGGCCTGGGGAGGTGGAGCCCTCTTGCCTGGGCTCCCTGGAAGTGAGGCTTTGGAGCAGCCGACAAAGGTGAAGGCGGGCCATCTACCTTCCTCCCCTCAGGGTTTCTCTGGGGACCTTCTAAAGCCGTAGGGTTTCACAGAGGTTGGTAGTGGGGCAGAGCCTGTGGAGGCTCCTTTAGGCCTGATTGGATGTGCAGAGGCTAGGAGTTGTCATGGAAACTGGTATGAGCCTGCATCCACCTCTGGGAGGCAGGAGACCCTGAAGGACACCTGTGGACTCCCTAAGAGCCATGGGTTTCTTATTTAGCCAGATCCACAGAGAGGCAGTTTAGCCGCCTCTCTGGGAGAAACTGAGGCCCAGCAGGGGGAGGCAGGGCACTGCCTGGCCTTGGCTCTTTATTCCCTAATTACCATCTCAGGTGCTGATTGCAACCTTGAGGTGCCTCTGCCCAGACTACCCTGTAATGAGGCCACCTGGCTCAGAGGGCCAGAGACCTGTGCTGGGAGCTGCTAGAGAGGGCCCCTCCCTCACCTGAGTCCTGGCCTCTGGGGAGGATGCAGGATTGGGTTTGGGCCTGGGTCTTTGCTGCCAAGTGGCCTTGTGGTCATTACCTCAGCATCTCTGCTGAGTGAACTCAATCCTTAGCCCTGTTTAGACCTACATTGGGCACTGTGGTCTGGGGCCCAGGGGGAATTGAGGTTCATGCCAGCACTTGAAGGGGGAGTCTCGGTGGGGATCAGGGCTTGTTACTGATGTCAAGGAGGCATCAGTTACTTGGGCTTGTTACTGGGTCAGGAGGGGTCTCAAGGTAGAGGGACTCTGACACCACTGCCCTGCTTACAGGTCACCTGCGAGGCCGCTGGCCAGGCCTGAGCCTCTGCCACCATGGCCATCGTGCAGACTCTGCCAGTGCCACTGGAGCCTGCTCCTGAAGCTGCCACTGCCCCACAAGCACCAGCCATGGGCAGTGTGAGCAGCCTAATCTCAGGCCGGCCCTGCCCTGGGGGACCAGCTCCTCCCCGCCACCATGGCCCTCCTGGGCCCACCTTCTTCCGCCAGCAGGATGGCCTGCTTCGGGGTGGCTATGAGGCACAGGAGCCGCTATGCCCAGCTGTGCCCCCCAGGAAGGCTGTCCCTGTCACCAGCTTCACCTATGTCAACGAGGACTTCCGGACAGAGTCACCCCCCAGCCCAAGCAGTGATGTGGAGGATCCCCGGGAGCAGCGGGCACGCAATGCCCACCTCCGTGGCCCACCACCAAAGCTCATCCCTGTCTCTGGAAAGCTGGAAAAGGTGAGGACTGGCTTTTCCTTGTGCGCCTGGGTAGAATCGGGAGCTCCCCTTGGGAAACTGGAATTTAGAAGCCTATATCGAGGAAAGAGTGTGGGCTCCAGAGTCACCAGACTGGGTCCTAGTCCCAGCTGTCTCTCATTCTGGCTGTGTGACCTCAGGGAAGTCACTTAACCTGAGCCTCAGTTTCTATAACTGAAATGAAGGTCAAATAACGTATAGTATAGTGCCTGGCATGTAGCATGTGTGCAGTACGTGCTAGTTGCTTACATTCTGGTTATTCTGCACCAGCTATACATTTGACTTTGGGCAAGGCCTTTCACCTTGCTGAACCTCCATTTCCTCATCTGTGATATGGGGATAGTGATAATATTTAGATAATGGGGATGAACCTTTCAATTGCTTGACACAAAGCTGACACTCAGGAGGCTTTCCGCCCATGGCTGCAATTGTTATGACTATATGGCATTAGGGACCCTAGATGGGAGGGCAGGGAGTGTCATAAGGGCTCTGCAAGATTGGGCAGCTTATCCCCAGTGTCACATGGCACCTCATTTCAGAACATGGAGAAGATCCTGATCCGCCCAACAGCCTTCAAGCCAGTGCTGCCCAGACCTCGAGGGGCTCCGTCCCTGCCTAGCTTCATGGGTCCTCGGGCCACCGGGCTGTCTGGGAGCCAGGGCAGCCTGACGCAGCTGTTTGGGGGCCCTGCCTCCTCCTCCTCTTCTTCCTCTTCCTCTTCTGCTGCTGACAAACCCCTGGCATTAAGTGGCTGGGCCAGTGGCTGCCCATCAGGGACACTGTCTGACTCTGGCCGAAACTCACTGTCCAGCCTGCCCACCTACAGCACTGGAGGTGCCGAGCCAGCCACCAGCTCCCCAGGCGGGCACCTGCCTTCCCATGGCTCCGGGCGAGGGGCACTGCCTGGGCCAGCCCGAGGGGCCCCTACTGGGCCCTCCCACTCAGACAGTGGCCGATCTTCCTCCAGCAAGAGCACAGGCTCCCTGGGGGGCCGTGTGGCTGGGGGGCTTTTGGGCAGTGGTACCCGGGTCTCCCCTGACAGCAGCTCTTGTGGGGAGCGCTCACCACCACCTCCCCCTCCACCCCCTTCGGACGAGGCCTTGCTACACTGTGTCCTGGAAGGAAAGCTCCGAGACCGGGAGGCAGAGTTTCAGCAGCTGCGGGACGGTCTGGAAGAGAACGAGGCGACCCTGTGCCAGGTGTGGTCAGAGGCAATGATGGGGAAGGGGCATGCCAGGACATCCCACGTCCCTGGGAATGCAAGGGGCATTTCCATTTTGGCAGGGAAGGGGGTTGGGTAGTTGTGGTTGTGAGCCCCCTGCCCTCCCACCAGTTATCTGGCTTAATTTGTGGAGTAGCCCCTCTACCCGCTTCCACCATGAGGCGTGGTGGCTCACATTTGTAATCCCAGCACTTTGGGAGGCCAGGGCAGGTGGATTGCTTAAGCTTGGGAGTTTGAGACCAGCCTGGGCAATACAGGGAAACCCCGTCTCTACTAAAAATACAAAAATTAGCTGGGTGTGGTGGCATGTACCTGTAGTCCCGGCTACTTGGGAAGCTGAGGTGGATCACTTGAGCCCAGGAGGAGGGGTTACAGTGAGCTGAGATCACGCCATTGCACTCCAGCAGGGGTGACAATGCAAGACTCTATTTCAAAACAAAACAAAACAGAAACCTGTGGGATGGAAAGGAGTCAGAGCGCAGGGATTCAAACCTTCACTGCCCAATACTGTCTTTTGGGCTTGAGCAAGTTGCCTAACTTTACTCAGCCTCCATTTCTTCATCTGTAATAGGGATATTTCTAGCTCCATAGGATTATTGTGAGGATTAAATAAGACAAAAGTTATAAAGTGCTTAGACTAATGCCTGGTGCCTGGGAAGTACTATATAGGTGATTGCTTTTTTTAAATTAAATTAAATTTAATTTTTAGTAGAGACAGGTTTCCACTGTGTTGGCCAAGCTGGTCTTGAACTCCTGGCCTCAAGTGATTCACCCACCTAGGCCTCCCAAAGTGCTGGGATTACACAGGCGTGAGCCACTGCTTTTTTTGTTTGTTTGTTTGAGACATGGTCTCATTTTGTCACCAAGGCTAGAGTGCAGTGGCGTGATTTCAGCTCCTTATAGCCTCAACCCTCTGGGCTCAAGTAATCCTCCCAACCCAGCCTCCCAAGTAGCCGAGACTACAGGCACATGCCACCACACCAGGCTAATTTTTGTTCTTTGTAGAGGCAGGGTTTCTCTGTGTTGCCTAGGCTGGCCTTGAACTCCTGGCCTCAAGTGATCCACCCGCCTCAGCTTCCCAAAGTGCTGGGATAACAGGCACGAGCCACCGCCCCCAGTCTGCCTACTCTTGTTTTTGATTCTGTGATAATCATAAGAGCAGTTAGTATTGTTGTTGCCATTATTATTGTTGTTTAATGGAATCCACCCTTCCTGAGCCCTCAGAAGTGGGCCGCCAGAGCAGACGGTGAGTGGGGAGTTGGGAGAACTGCCCAGGAGCCGGGTCTGTCTTCTCACCTGCAGGCATATGAGGAGCGGCAGCGGCACTGGCAGCGAGAGCGCGAGGCCCTGCGAGAGGACTGCGCGGCCCAGGCACAGCGGGCACAGCGGACCCAACAGCTGCTGCAGCTGCAGGTGTTCCAGCTGCAGCAGGAGAAGCGGCAATTGCAGGACGACTTCGCACAGCTGCTGCAGGAGCGTGAACAGCTGGAGCGGCGCTGTGCCACCTTGGAGCGGGAACAGCGGGAGCTCGGGCCAAGGCTTGAGGAGACCAAGTGGGAGGTGGGCCAGACCATGAGGGGGAGGGAGCCTGGTCATCCAGGGAGAGACCCTGGAAAAAGGGGCCCGGCTACACCCTCCCTCAGCCTGCCACCCCCAGAGGGCCTTCCCTTCCTCACCTCCGTAAGATGTGGTTCCCCTCTGCCCCTTTCTGCGAGGGAGGTCTCCTTGTTGGTCTGGTCTGGTGGCATGTAGCCCCACTTGCAGCCAGCCAGTAGTAAGAACATGGTGCTTGTGGTGTGAAGGCATTATTCTAAGCATGTTAGTTACATGGAGCAGATCGTTTCATCCTCCTAACAACACTGAGGGGCTACTGTTAGTCTCCCCTCCTCCCATTTTAGAGATGAGTAAACTGAGGCCCAGAAAGACTGAAGCCCAAAATCTGAACCCAGGCAGTCTGGCTCCAACATCTGAGCTCTTAACCAAGAAACTGCAGTACCTCTTGAGTAGACATGTGGACACTGCCCTCTGCTGCTCCCACTCCTGCAGCACCTGCCAGCACCCAGTCCCCAGGGCTCAGTGCTGCTTCCACATTGTCTCATGATGCTTTGAAGACACCAGCTTTGAAGCAAAAAGATCTAGGTCTGCTTTCCACTTAGGCTACATATTAACTGTATGACCTTGGACATATCACTAGACTTGCCTTAATGTCTCCATCTGTAAAATGGGGATAAAGATGGAAGCTCCTCTCCTGAATGCCCAGCATGATGCACAGGGCCTGTCCCTCCACCCCCAGGAGAACCCATCTCACCATACTTTCCCACTGCCTCCCACCCCCAGGTGTGCCAGAAATCAGGCGAGATCTCCCTGCTGAAGCAGCAGCTGAAGGAGTCTCAAGCAGAGCTGGTGCAGAAGGGCAGCGAGCTGGTGGCCCTGCGGGTGGCGCTGCGGGAGGCCCGGGCTACGCTGCGGGTCAGTGAGGGCCGTGCACGGGGCCTACAGGAGGCAGCCAGAGCTCGGGAGCTGGAGCTGGAAGCCTGTTCCCAGGAGCTGCAGCGACACCGCCAAGAAGCTGAGCGGCTTCGGGAGAAAGCTGGGCAGTTGGATGCTGAGGCGGCTGGACTCCGGGAGCCCCCTATGCCACCTGCCACTGCTGACCCGTTCCTCCTGGCAGAGAGTGATGAGGCCAAGGTGCAGCGGGCAGCAGCCGGGGTAGGGGGCAGCTTGCGGGCCCAGGTGGAGCGGTTGCGGGTGGAGCTGCAGCGGGAGCGACAGCGGGGTGAGGAGCAGCGGGACAGCTTTGAGGGGGAGCGGCTGGCCTGGCAGGCGGAGAAGGAGCAGGTGATCCGCTACCAGAAGCAGCTGCAGCACAACTACATCCAGATGTACCGGCGCAACCGGCAGCTAGAGCAGGAGCTGCAGCAGCTCAGCCTGGAGCTGGAGGCCCGGGAGCTCGCTGACCTGGGCCTGGCCGAGCAGGCACCCTGCATCTGCCTAGAGGAGATCACCGCTACAGAGATTTAGGGCCCTCAGCACCCAGCTCTGTAGGGAGCTCTGCCAGAGGGCAACAGCTGCAGGTCCACTCAGGCCCTGGGGTCCACGGAGGACCCCAAAAGCTGAGAGCCCCAGAGCCACTTGTCTCCTAGGATCCAGGCCTCTGGGCTTCTGCCAAGAACTCGGGGTGGCCCTGTGACTTGGAGGATCAAGATCAGACCACTCGAAGGTCCCCATGTTCACTGTCACCCAGAGGCTCCTGTCACTCTGTCCATTTCACTTCCTACTGCTGCCAGTGCCACTGCCAACCCTGCTCACAGGCGCTTCCAGCCCACTCCAGCCAGGGGAGCTGGGAAGAAGGGGTTCCCTCCTCTCCACATTCCCCCCAACCCTAAAGCCAGAGAAAGCCAGATGGTACCAGCTGCTCCAGATGTGCCTGCCCACATTGGGGGACAGGGCCGGGCCTGGGCTCAGTTCCCATGTTCGAGCTCTGCAGCCTCCCTCCTGGAGTGAGGGGGCTGAAGTCAGACCAAAGGAAGAACTCAGAAATGTCTTGTTTATTTGTGTTTGTGACCAAGCAGCCTCTCCCTTCATCTAGATTTATGGCCTCATTTTCACTTGTGTATTTTTCACACTGTAAATTTCTTGTACAAACCCAAAGAAAAAATTAAAAAAAAAGTTTTTGTTTAAAAAAATGTGAATGTGCTGGATAAAGAGTATAGGAACTTGTTTGACCCCCACCCCGTCTATTTGCTGGCTATTCCCCTACCCCTCATAGAGCTCTCGGGGAGAAAAGATGATGGAGGAAGGACATGTCCAGTGGAAAGTCTGAGGTCTTAGTGGACTGCAATATGAAATGACCTCTCAGGGTTTGAAGGACTAGAAACCTTTCACCCTTTTCCTTGCACAGAATGCTGCTTGGGGCTGGGGAATGGATGCACTGACCCCTTGAGGGCCCTATCTGAGAGTCTGCGTCCCTGAAGGCTTGGGCGACTCATAAAGTAAGGGCCAGGGTGTGAGAAAGTGCCCACCAATCCCAAGCTCCAGACCTTGGGTTACTTGACCCCATTCCTGGCCTGAGAGATGGGGGAGCAGTGAATGCGGGTGACACAGGCTGCCCACTAGCACCTTGTCCTTGGACACTAAGGCAAAGCCTTAGTGAGAGCTGAGGAGGGAAGAAAGTGGAAAGATGGGAGCTACCAGTGTGGCACTGGGAGGAGGCAGGGTGGGCAGGAGCAAGAGGAGAGTCCTGAGGAAGTTGGTGGGAGAGGTCCTGGGGATTGCACAGTGCTGGAGTCAGTGGGAGAATGTGAGGTTAGGGGAAGGGTCATGGGATGCGTGGGGAGGATGTGGGCTTAGAACTACGAGTCTGGGGGGCTGGGCTGGGAGTTGGCTGGAGGAGTCTGGCATCAGTGGGAGGGGTCTGGGGATTGGTGGGAGGTTCTGGGAGCCAGTGGGCAGGAACTGGAGCAGCATCAAGGGGTGGGTGGGCAGGGGAGTGGTCAGCAGGAAGGCCCCCATCAGTAAGGGCTGATGAGTCAGAGGGTGAGGGCTGTGGGCTGGGCCCTGGGACCCTGACCACAAGCTCCATGGGCTCCCGGGCCTTGTTTCGATAAGCCCAACGGATGGTGTCTACTGCCCGCTGGTGGGTCACCTGCTCCAGACTCTCTCCATCCACTGCCACAAGCTCGAAGCCAGCCTAGGATGGGGAGGGAGAGTCACATCCCTCCCTCCTCATGTCAGCCCCCACCAGCGCCCAACCTGAAGACAGAATCTTCTCACCTCCACCCGCGAGCACACTCCTCCGCCATCTGGGTGGAGGGGATGGACAATGAGACTTTTGTGCCTGGAGTCGTTGGGGGCAGGGTGGGGCATAGACAAGGGCTCTTTGTCCACTGGGGCTCAGGCTGAGGCTAGCATGAGGGGACAGAGTTTTCCCCAGGCCTGCTGATCCTGCTCACCTGAACCCCCTCACCCCAAGCCTCCTCCCACAGCCTGGGCTAAACATATCTGGCTGGAAGCTGAGCATGGCCAGCCTCACCTCCTGCCCAGTTCCAGCTGTGGGCTGAGCTCCACCCACCTGCAAAGCCCCGCTGAGGAAGGCAGCACCCCCAGGGAAGATCTTCTCTATCTTCACCATGGGCTGCACCTTGGACTCGATGCCCCCAGAAATGCTGATGCCTAGTGACAGGGAGAACCACTGTGTGAGAGGACAGCCAGACCCCACAATGCAAGCTCCCTGAAAAAACCTAGAATCCCATCCCCAAATCCAAGGCCCCAACTTCCCCCAAACCCCTATATTCGGTTACTACTCAAATCTCAACTGATTCCAAAATCCTCCACATCCTAGCTCCTCAAATCTAGACCCCGTTCAACTACACTCCAATACCCCAGATTCCTTTTTTTTTGAGAAGGAGTCTTACTCTGTTGCCCAGGCTAGAATGCAGTGGTGCAATCTCAGTTCGGCTCCTGAGTAGCTGGGATTATAGGTGCCCGACACCACACCCAGATAATTGTTTTGCATTTTTAATGGAAACAGGGTTTTGCTATGTAGCCCAGACTAGTCTCGAATTCCTGACCTCAAGTGATCTGCCCCCCTCAGCCTCCCAAATTGCTGGGATTACAGGCATGAGCCACTGTGCCTGGACAATCCCCCTTGCAGATTCTTTTCCTAGGCCCAGACTTCTAGTGTCCCCTGCCAGGCCCAGGCCCACCTGGACTCACCTAAAGACTGCTTCATCTTGGACAGTGTCACTGTCTTCAGCTCGCCACTAGGGGTCTTCATGGCTGCCTCCTCTGCCATCCCCCCAGTTCCATTCTCTGAGGGCCCTGGCTTGTTGGCCCCCACCTTGGCTGCCTCCCCATCCAGAGGTCGTGGCAGAGAGGGCCTGGCCTTCCGAGGCTTGTGGTAGCGCCCATTGACCATGATGGGGTCGGGGGTTGGCGCCGGGGATGGGGAGCGTCTACCTGGAGACTTGCCTTGACCCCGGCGGCTGTGGCTGCGGCTGCGGCTGCGGCTCTGTGCCCGGCCCCGGCTCTGGCTCTGCAGAGGGTCTGCTCGGCTCAGGGGCTCTGTCAGCAGCCAGTTATGCCGCGGGGGCTGGGGAGCCACGGGGGGTGGCTGGGGAGGGGGTGTGCAGGCACTTTGGTGGGGGGCAAAGGCATCTACTGGCACGTCTTGGAGAGGGGGTATCCCTTTATGAGGGTGGCGGGGGGCACAGGCACTCGGAGAGAACTTGAGGCCCCCCATCCGCTCCCTCAGCTCCCAGTCATCTTCCTCCTCTGGGTAGCCGTTTACCGGCAGCAGGTAGAAGCCTCCGCGGCTGTCTGAGGAAGAGCACCAGGGTCAGCTGCCCCCTCCTCCCCTCCCAGCTTGGACCACCTCTCTAGGACCCAGGCCACCTCTCCAGGACCCAGGCCTTGCCTTGGTTTGTGTGGGGCCTGTGGGAGCCAGGTCCGGGGTTGCTTAGGCCCTACTGCAGTGCAGCCCACCCACCAGAAGGCCGACAAACATGTTCTTTTTTTTTTTTTTTTTTTGAGTTGGGGTCTCTCTCTGTTGCCCAGGCTGGAGTGCGGTCTCGCAATCTTGGCTACCGTAGCCTCCACCTCCCAGATTCAAGCATTTCTCCTGCCTTAGCCTCCCGAGTAGCTGGGATTACAGGGGTGCACCACCAAGCCAGCTAATTTTTGTATTTTTAGTGGAGACAGCGTTTCTTCATGTTGGCCAGGTTGGTCTCTACTCTTGACCTCAAGCAATCCACTGCCTCAGCCTCCCAAAGTGCTGGGATTACAGGCGTCAGCCACCGCACCCGGCCTAGAATTGCATTTTAATACTTCCTATTGGAATCGTTACAGTTCTATTTCAGAGTGTCTAAGAAAAAATATGACTAGCATACCAAATGTGATTTCTCAGAGGTTACTGCACAGAATGAGACTAGATTTTAAAAGTGAGTGGGTTTCAAACCAACTGTTAAGTAAATAAAAGTACAGGTGGTGACCAGCAGGTGTGATAAAATGGCTCTGGTGGACAAGAGCTTTCCTTCAGGGAAACACAATGTGTCTCAAACTCGCAACTGTCTCCTGTGGGGACAGGGGTAGAAGGCCCATCCTCCCTTCCCTAATCTCCCAGGGCGTGCCCCTCCCTGGGCTCGGGGACTCTGACTGACCAGGCACGGGGGTGATGAGGTGACGCTTGGGCAGCGTGTCCTGCCGGGCTGGTCTCAGTGCAGGAGGCCGGACTGGTTGGAGAGATGAACAGGTCAGCAGCAAAGCACCCCGCCAGGCTCCAGGATGGACGAAGCTCAAAGGGCTCTGGCAATCTCTGCTGTCCTCTCCACCACAAGGTCCCATCCCCACCCCCAGCAGGCCTCAGGACCCAGAAAACCTGCCCCCCACTGCTGACCTGCCCTGCTCTTGAGCGCCTCAAAAGCCTCCAGCTCCACAGGCATCACCATGCTGTCGAAACGGCCCAGGTCTGTGGGGGCTACCACACTCCTGCAAGACGGTGAGATGGCAGGGGTGGGAGGGGCAGGAAGGGTTTCAGTTCTGGAGGTGCCAGGATGTGAATCAGCCTTCAGGAGGTGGCGGGGTGGGGGGGGCGGGCGGAATCAGGGACCCCTTCCTGCCCGCAAGCCCTCTCTGCAACCTCCTCCACCTGATGTCCCGCAGCAGCAGCAGCTTCTCGGGCCTGTCGAGGATGGCCAGCAGGGGCCTCACCAGGTCCTCCACGCCTCCCTCGTGCACATACTGCAGACAGAGGCACTACAGGTCAGACAGCAGTGGGGACTTCCAGAGCCGGGTGAGGGGAACACCAGGGCATGGAGGTGTTTCCCCTACACATGTAGGGACCCATCCAGCCCGTGGGAAAGGCTCCCGCCACCTCCAGCTGGACACAGTTCGGTCTGATCTTGGTGACGGGGTAGAAGCCTGTAGTCATAACAGACCTGCAATCAAGGGCAACGGCATCGGTAACAGGTTTGGGACAGACACTCTTCTAAGCCTTTTACATACGGTCTCTCAACAACCACCCTGAGAAATGGCACTAGTTATTCCTGTTTTACAGATGCAGAAACTGAGGCTCAGAGAGGAGAAGGATTTAGCTCAAAGCCACACAGATAAGGAAGGACTGGAACCCGAGAAGTCTAACTCTTGCCTGCTTGGTGCCGGAAAAGGATGTGCAGGGAGTGGACTCTCCTCCCCACCCCCACATCCCAGGCAGAAGGAAGGCATTTGAGCCAAACACTAGGCTGTGTGCCTGGTTGTCCCAGCGTGTGTCTGCACACAGACCTACAAATTAGGCTTTGTTCGGGGCTGGAATGGGAGCCTTGGGGAAGGGGTGGCTCTGCAGAAAGCCTCTCCAGTCAGTTCCCGGGGGGTGGAGCCCTTTCTGCCTGGCACTGCCCGGATGCCACCAGCCACACCCCACTGACTCTGAAGACCTGAAAACACTGGGAGCCACCCTACTTGGATGGCACACTGCCCCCTCGTGGCGAGAGGGAGACTGAGTTGAGGACACGCACGCATAGAACACTTTCTTTGGGCACAGACCCAGAGACAGAGCATGCCCTGGTGGTCAGAGTGAGTCATTCATAAACCTCTGGAAATAAATAAGATACAAACGATGTGTGTGGCCCCAAGCCACACACAGTTACAGCGACTCACACATACACATATCAACAATACATTCCCTTTTGTC